CTGGGGTGCAGGACTTGAGAAGCGGTGGAATGCAATGGAAAATGAAACACCTTGCAAATCACACATTAGAATTTGTTCATTCCTGGCTGGGAATGGACCTTGGGTGTAGCAATTTTGACTGGGCAAGTCCTCAGGGAGGCCAGGTGGAAACTGGGACATTTTAGAGCTTGTGGCCAGTGGCCTTCAGCCACAGGTAACATCTTTATCTGACCCTCCTGCATGTATATTCTCTTGTGCTGTGTTTACCTTGATGTGAAGAAGCTAGGGCCCAATCAATGCCCTAGGTTTGCTTCCTCCTCCTCTTCCTCCTCCTCCTCTTCCTTCTCTTCCTCTTCTTCTTCTTCCTCTTCTTCTTCTTCCTCCTCTTCTTCTTCCTCCTCCTCTTCCTCCTCTTCTTCTTCCTCCTGTTCCTCTTCTTCTTTCTCCTCTTCCTCCTCCTCTTCCTCTTCTTCCTCTTCCTCCTCCTCCTCTTCCTCCTCCTCCTCTTCCTCCTCTTCTTCCTCCTCCTCTTCCTCTTCCTCTTCCTCCTCTGCCTCCTCTTTTTCCTCTTCTTCCTACTCTTCCTCTTCCTCTTCCTCCTCTCCTTCTTCCTACTCTTCCTCCTTTTCCTCCTCCTCCTCCTCCTCTTCCTCCTTCTCTTTCTCCTTCTTTTAATCACCTATGTTGTAGAGTCTTAGTTTGTACAGGCTATAGTTTTTTCCAACTCTCATCAGCTTGCTTTGAATTGTAAATGAGAACATCTTTGTCAGTGCAGAATAGCAGGTTCAGAGTGGTGGTTTCATTTCCTCTGTTTCTCTATTCATGGAACTTTCAGGGGACAGAAATAGCCAACAGACTCTTCTGCTCATGCTTGCCTGCCTTTGTCTGATGCGGGTGCCTCACAGTTTGGCAGCTGCATCTTCCTCTGCTTGAATTCTCCTTTCCCTTTGCCCTGTGATTTCCATATTTATAATTTAATGCTTTGCACATTTGAGATAGCATTTTAATGGCCTTTTTTTTTTTTTTTAAGTGAAGCTGCATCAAGGAGGAAGTTGCTACCCTAGGTGTCCCAGATCCATACCCTATCCATTCCCACTATAGAACTGGAATCACCAAGCCCTGGGACACTATACCTATGTGAGTTTCTTAGAGCTGCTGTAACATACTACTAGCTGGCATCATAAAAGAACTTGGACTGATTCTATTCCAGTTTTGAAGGATGGATGTTAGAAATCAAATTTCTCTTTGAAGGTTAGGGAAAGTGTATGCTTTGTCTGTTCCTCCCCCTCTTCTTCCTCCTCCTCTTCCTCTTCCTCCTCTTCTTCTCTCTTACTTGGTTAATAGATGTATCACTCTAATCTGCTTCTGTCTCATAGTAGCGTCTCTGTAATGTTTGCATCTGTGTCTTCTTCCTATGTAAGGACATACTAATGGGCACATCTTTTTAAACTTAAGATTTATGTTGGCTCACAGTTTGGGAGGCTACAGTCATTTGGTGTCAGAGGAGTCGTGGGAGAGACTTGACCATCGTTGGCAGGAGTGTGTGATATAGCTTATTCATAGCTTAGTGGTGCTGGAAACAGATGAGGGGCCAGAAGCAGGGCCAGGCTTTAACTCTGAAGATATTCTTCCTCCCCAAGTGATATATCTCTACAAGCTAGATTCAATGTCGCAAAGGATATAGTCTCCCAAAATAGCAGGACAACTGGAGATGAAGTGTTAGAACACATCAACCCATGGGGAACTTTTCACATTCAAACTACAACATTCTGAAGGGGCTCCCATGAGCTCACAGCCATCTCACAGTACAGTCTATCCTGGTCTCAAGAGTTCCAACATTATTTAAAAGTCCAAAGTTTTAGCTGTGAACTCCTGTAAAATGGAAAATCTGCATCATATTTATTCAGTATACAGTGGTACAAAGTAGCATCATTCAAAATGGCAGGGATGGGGAAGACTCCAAGAGAAACCTGGAGAGTGAGTAACAAATTCCGGAGCACCATACCCAGCACCTGGTCCCTTGATGGCATCCTCTCAGCATCCGTGGGCTTAGATAACCACATTGTCTCTGCCATTTATAATATTGTGATTTCTCTAGGGCTGTCTACACAGTACCTGTAGCTTTTCTCTGTAGATATTATTATGTTCCCAGCATCTCCTACATTTTAGGGTCTCCATTGTGACTTAGACTTCACTTTTATAGAATTGCACTTTGTCCTCTCAGGGTCTGTCTTCAGAGGACCCAATTTTGTAACACATCGTGCCTCTAATCTTTCTTGCACTTAAAATTCAGTGACAATATTTTTATTTATACTCTTTAGATTCCTTGTTATATGAAGGATTTTGAACTTTCTGATGCATTTGTCCATAATGGCAGTTTTAAACTTGTGGAAGGGCTGTGTCTTTAGAGATTAAGACGGGCATTGTTTTATACATTTAAAATAGGAACAGTATTTTACTGAAACAGTGAAATGAATGTTCCAGAACCAAGCTTTCCACTTCCCATTATTATTTTGTAGTTTCCCTGAGGGGACTGCAAATGTCTAACTTACTAAATCATGTGTTTCCAGAAGTAGAAGGAAGCTGACAAAGTTTAGATTAGACTTCTCATTGAATGTGAGAGTAAGCTAAAACCCACGGATGCAGGCCCCTCACCCATTGGATCCCGTTTCTCCTGATGGACTGCTTAACCTTTTGTTTGTCCTTTGTTTTCTAATAGTGATGAAGCCTGTATAAGCTTCAAGGCTCCTGATAGGCACAGTGTGTTTTTCATCCTGACTTAGCAAATTCCTTGTGTTTTGTTGGTAGCTCCTGTATGCTCAGTAAAGATTTGCTGAGAGACAGATAACACTGTCCCCTTTCCAGCACCCACGTTAAGACCCTGAACACTTGAGTCAGCCAGTAGATATCCGAATGCTGAAGTGTGCCCTTGTGAAGTATTTCTGTTGCAGCAAAAAAAGAGAAACATTAGAACCTGATGCCCTGTTTGTACTTTGAAATAGGTTTAAGGAAGAAGAAATGGCCAGTATGGAGGTTTGTTCTAGGGAGGAGTCTTTACTTACTAGTAAGGACAGGAAAAGTTAAGGTTCCTGGGTAGTCACAGGTTGTCTGGTCAGATGCCTTTATTAGTAAAAGTCAAACATTGTTACTTAGTATATTGAAAGTTAAAAATAGCCTCTCATACTAGCATCCGTCAATTTCTTCTCTTTTTGTTGTCTTTCAGACACCAAATGGTCCCTAAGTTTCCTTTACTTCTTTAGTCAGTGATTTACTCTTAGAAATTGAGTTGGGTGTATTCATTGTGTGTGATCCCTGTGTGTTGACTGTTCTTGTCAAGTAGAAATGGATCAGAGCAATTCTATGGGATCTCTTGAGTCCTTTAAATAGTAAATTATAATTTACACAATTCATTTGTAAATTGTAAATTGAAAAATTTGTATGGCTCTTGTTTCACAAAATTGTTTTCTGAAGCTGTGGTCCTCAGAGTGCCTGTGTCAGAAGTTCTCATTTGATGATCATGAGCCTTGGTGTCCTTGGAAGGATTGTTTTGTGTTAGAATCGTGCATTGTCAATATATCCTGCAGAAGACTCTCAACCAGGGCTCCCTCACACCACCAACAGAGAATGCTCCGTTGTAATATCTTTTACTTTTCATTATAATGAGAACTCTTTCCTATTGCAGATATGATATCTATCAGAGGAGTACAATGTCTTGCCTTAGCTTTCATCCAGCCATCAGACTGTTCGAGAGTATGTAAACAATGTCTCAGCTCAAAATATGGAAGAGTGTTTTGAAATCATTCTTAGAAACCAAGTATAAATTACTAAATAAAGAAGATAAATATTTTCTAAATAACAACTGAGCAAAGCAGAGAAACATTCCACTTCAGATGAGGTGAAAGAAAAAAGCAGACACGCCAGCTTTAGCTCATCCCACCCCCTTGCTAGTGTGCTGCTTATGCTGTGTGTTGCTTCACCTGGCATCGTTCCAGGGCTTGTAGCTCAGTGTGAAAGCTTACCACTTCCCTTGCTCCAGAGTCGCCTTGTTCTTTTTTTTTTTTTTTTTTTTTTTTGCAAAAGAGCAAACTTCCTTTGCTTTGCCCTGTAGAGCTTTTGCCTCTAGCTCTGGAGGCTAAAGACCTGCCTGTGCTTTCTCGTCTTGGTGCATCGGAGTTTTCTGTCTTGAGTGTCTGGCCATGCTGGAAAGCGTTCAAGAATGTGAGGATGAGTAGCTTGCTCTTCCCCACCCTTTCTTTGATGTCTTCTTTCCACTCGGTGCTTTGATAACCTGTGACTGGTACTTGGGTTCCCCCAGTCTTCCCTCCCTGTCTCTAGATACAGGCCTTTGGATACAAAGTTCATTGTCTAAGAACACCTATTTGGGATTTGAAAGCTGTTGCCAGGGATTTCTGTTTTAAACGTATACCCATGAACACTGTAGCTCCTTTTTGTTTGTGACTATTTCCCCATCGTCTTTCCATGATGCTCTAGCAGAGGACTAAGTACAGGTTCATTATTGTATCTTGTCACATGCCTAACGCAGGATTTGATAATACAAGCTAACTGCATATCCATGGAGCCCAGCTCCATGTCTTCCCTGGGGAGAGCATCTGTAGAGTCGGTACTGACTGAGAGGTACAGGTGAAGAGACTGGGTTGAAAGATGGAGGACTGATACAGTTATGGAGTGGCATCACATCTGTCTCCTGGAACATGGTCTCCCAGTGGCCAGGGCTTCATTCTAGGGCTCTCCATGAGGTCGGTGGAAGTTCCGCACTTTCTGCCTTGAAAACTTTGCAGGCTGCTTTGCATACATATTTTGAGAATGTTCAAAAGATGAACCAGCTGGCTGCACACAGTTTGCTGCTAAAGCCAGTTTCAAATCAGAGTGAACTTTTCTGGAGCCCTATTTGCCAGGGACAGAGTTTCCTGGCCTCTGTCAGATGGTTCTGTAAGTCAGATTGCCTTTGTTTATTTTTCCTCAATTTTTTTTTCTCCTTTTCTTCTTAGTCTTCCATCCCCAGAGAAATTTAGAGCTTGTTGGCATGTAGCTGGAGTGAACAGAACTGGTGACATTTAAGGAAAGGGCCATAACAGAAGAGAGGAAGAAAATCTCAGTCAGCAGTGGCATTTGGGAGGTATAGGTACAGAAAAAGAACCATTGTTGTAAACCAGGAAGAAAAAGGTACCATTAAAAGGGGGAGAGAACGATGCAGCAAATACGAGAAAGGAAGGCTGGTGAGTAACTTTCTGAGCTGTTCAGTCATGCAGATTATTCTGAATCATAAAACTGGAGGCATGTGGTGTGTGTCCTGGTTGATTAGCATTCCTCTAGTTTGGAATTAAGGTGACAAACAAAACATTATGATTTACCTGTGCGTGATTATTAATTGTGGATAAAAAAGCTGCCAGGTAATGTTTGCGTTTGCTGGTTGTTTATGTAAGGACAGACGATTTTAGTTAACACATGGCCAAAAGAGCCTGCTCCTCTTCTGCCAGTGCTAAGCTGATTTGCCAAAAATCTCATGAGGTGCTTTACTTGGGGTCCAACTGTCATATTTAGACTACACAGTGAATCTGTAAGATTATGTTCCAGATAGAAGCAAATTTCCAGCTTTCTACTTTTTATATATCAGCTTTATGTATAGACTGTGAGAGTAAATTAACCATTAGCATTGTATAGGATTGCCTGGTTCACTTATCTTTAATGAGGAGTCTATTTCTACATATAGTGACCTGTCTACATATACTGACCTGTCTACATATACTGACCTATCTATACTGACCTGTCTACATGTACTGACCTGTCTATATATACTGACCTGTCTACATATACTGACCTGTCTACATATACTGACCTGTCTGCATATACTGACCTGCCTGTATAACTGACCTGTCTACATATACAGACCTGTCTACATATACTGACCTGCCT